GAGTGTTTATCGTTCTATATAGAACCATTGTCCTTACTAAAGAACCCTTGAAGAACCATCTTTTTTAAGTGCTTAACACGTCGTGTGATCGGCCTCCTTGCGTAATATAAACATATCCGTCTCCGAGTTTGTGAGGTTTGTAATATCTTTCTGATATTGGCTTAAATAAAAGGATGGTCTGCTCCCTCCAGGTGAGGCGAGACCATAGATACACACGCCTAGATGCCGCGTTGGGTCCAGCCAGGCATGTCAACGGCGCCGCCATTTTAGGGAGGTCAACACACTGCTGGACTGCATTCAGTTCCATTACAGAGCAGCAGCATGATGGTAAACTGGGAGTGTTGGTGCTGTCATCCTGTGTCGTTTAGCGTCGCTGTTTGCTATCTGGTGTCGACCAGAGGATTTGGGTTCCCCTTTTGAGTCTTGGTTCCTCTCAGTGTTTCTTCCTCTTGCTCTTAGGGAGTTTTTCCTTGCCACTGTCGCCATTGGTGACGCTCATGAGGGCTCGGACTCAGATTTTTCTGTGAAGCTGCTTTGTGACAACACCTGTTGTAAGAATCGCTATATAAATAAACTTTGACTTGACTTGACAAGGTCTCTGGAGACCCGAATGCGCAACACAGTGCCCGAAAAATGCTTTTTTATACCCTTGATCTGGGGTGATTTTACATCACCCCTCCCTTCTTATCAATTTTTGTTTTGTTCCATTTGGTCCCATTGGATACAAGACCCCTTTATTACTTAGCCCCCCTTATTTCCACATGTATACAACACTCCTTCTTAAAAAAGCTGGTTTCAACCAGTTCACACCAGCCCATCCCATCCTACAAGGTCATTCTTATATGATATCATGCCAGTTCACAAAGTTCACTCAGACACCTGCATGTGGGTTCAGGGATTTCACTGAGCTGGAATCTTCAAACAGTCTATATATAAACAGAATCCAGAAATGCTGCCGCCTTCTCTGGGCCCGAGCTCATTTAAAATGGACGGAGGCGAAGTGGAAAAGTGTCCTGAAGTCCGACGAATCAACGTTTAAAATTCTTTTTGGAAATCATGGACTCTGTGTCCTCTGGACTAAAAACCACTCAGCTTGTTATCAGTGCACAGTCCAAAAGCCAGCATTCATGATGGTGTAGGGGGGCATTAGTGCACATGGCATGGGTGACGTGCACATCTGTGAAGGCACCATTAATGCTGAACGATATATACATGGTTTGGCAACATATGCTGCCATCCAGACTACGTCTTTTTCAGGGAAGGCATTGATTATTTCAGCAAGACGATGCCAAACCACATTCTGCATGTATTACGACAGCAAGGCTCCGTATTAAGAGTCTAGTTGCTAAACTGACCTGCCTGCAGTCCAGACCGTTCACCACTGAAAACATTTGGCACATTATGAAATGAAAAATATGACAAAGGAGATCCCGAACTGCTGAACAGCTGAAATCTTATATCAAACACAAATGGGAAAACATTTCAGTTTCTAAACTACAGCAGTGTCTCCTCAGTTCCCAAACGCTTACAGAGTGCTGTTAAAAGAAGAGGTGATGAATCACAGTGGTAAACAGGCCCCCGTCCCAACTTTTTTAGAATGTGTTGCTGCCATCAAATTCAAAACGGGCAAATATTTTTCCAAAAAACAGTAAAATTTCTCAGTTTCAACATTTGATATGTTGTCTTTGTAGTATTTTCAATGAAATATAGGGTTTAAACGATTTGCACATCATTGAATTCTGTTTTTATTTACATTCTGCACAGCGTCCCAATTTTTGTGGAAATGGGGTTGTACATTATCTCTTATGAAGAAATGTGATGCAGTAATTAATTATTTTACCTTATGTGTATTTTGTGCTTGTCTTGTGTATTTCTGCTGCTGGAACACTCTAATTTCCCTTTGGGGATTAATCAGATTTTATCATAATCTGTAGTGAATTATAGACATTTTCTATGGGTTTTTTCAGCGGTTAAATCTGATAAAACTGCTCTCAGCTCCAGTAAGAGCAGCTCTCTGAACACAGGCTGAACCTCGTAGCTGCTCGAACTAGGCAAAATGCCGGGGTTACGGCGTGCACGCGCATACGCACGTGCTCGTTCTCGATCGAGCACGTGCGCGCGGCCGCTACGCGCTCCACTCCCCCTTTACGTGCGCGTGCGCGGCGTGAGGGACGGCGAGTTCGACTGAGTTTACAGAGCCGATTCTTTCGAACGAGTCACCGATTCGCCGGCTAAACGAGGCTCATCCGCGTCTCCTCCATGTGCGGCGGGAGTCGGTTCAGCGAGCGAATCTTAGAGTCTTCTCTGCTCACTGATGGAGTCAGACAGTCACCGCAATCGATTAGATCTGTAACGGTACTTTCAGAAACGATGAGATTTAAATAATCTATAATATTTTCCATCGTGTTTAAAGGACTCGTTAATCCGTAGTCTGTAAATTATAGTAACTGTCTGACTGTAATGAATGAGCAGAGTTGCTATAGTCATCTATTTTGCAATGCTTTATTTTTTAAATTATATATTCGCAGCTACACGTTTAAAAGTTGTCAACCTGTAGCTTTAGTGTAAATAACACTGACTGTACCATTTAACTGTAACTCCAGTGCTTTATAAATATAAATAATGCCCACACTGTGTTTTTTGCGGCTTAGCAGAGCTGTAGTTGTATGTCGCTGCTGTTGGAACAAAACTTTGAAACTCCATTTTTGTCATTTTTCAGTTTTTGACATCATTTGAAAATACTTTCTGCCCTTTACATTGGGTGTAAATTTCATATTGAAAAGAAATGACCTGAAACGGCTTGGATAAAAGTCTGGTTCCATTGACTTACATTCAAAGTAAAGTAAGTTTTTTCCTTCTCCTGTAAAGCTACCATTTTTGAGATACGAGGTTTTGCTCCAAGCGAATATGTGTATTTATGCAAAAGTACACACACATATATCGTCGTTGACTAAAAAAAAACAAACATCTCCAAAATAGTGAACTTACAGAAGAGGGTTATATTCAGTGTAAGTTAAATTAAGACGATTTGATTCTAAGCATCTTTGGAACGTTTCTATGGGTCCAATCATCATTAACCCTTGTGTGGTGTTCAGGTCTGAGGGACCCGTTTGCAATGTTTACCAAAATAAAAAATGAAGTGATTTATTATTATTTCAGCCTCAGATTCTTGGTCTTTGCTCATTTTCTGTGAAGAACATATAAAATGACCCATTTTCAGTGTCTTCACTCTGTTCACCCCCCACACATTTATATTACACATGTGGTGTTGGGTGAACCTGCGGGGAGTAAAAGTGTGGAGGTGCTGTGTCCTTCACTCTGTTCTCCTCCTACATGGCCTGCTGTTAGTGTGTGTGTGTGTGTGTGTGTGTGTGTGTGAGAGAGGGTGGACAGCATGGACAAGCTGCTGACTGGCTACAGCTGCTAAAGGAGAACCCTACACTGGACACTTGTGATATTTTAAACATCTGGTAGTTTTACATGAATTGTTATGGCTGTATTGATTTAAATAAACAATAATGTGGTGGGTCCAGCAGACCACTGAGTAACACACACATCAACACCACACAAGGGTTAAATTTCACACAATGTAAAGGGCAGAAATCTAAAAAACACAAAAAATGGAAATACTTATTTTTATGTATATGTATATCGCTGCTATCAGAAAAAAACCTTGTGTCTCTATTTTTGTCATTTTTCAGTTTTTGACATAATTTGAAAATACTTATTACCCTTTACATTGTATTTATGTTTTATGATGAATGGGCTAAAACAAATGACCGACAATGACTTGGAAATACGTCTGGTTCCATTGACTAACATTGAAAGTAAAGTAGGTTTTTTCCTTCTCCTGTAAAGTTACCATTTTGGAGATACGAGGTTTTGTTCCAACAGCAGCAGCACGTATATATATATATATATATATATATATATATATAGTATTTCATGCAATACATTTTTATTCTTTTTATCTTTATGTGTTCTATGTTTGTCTTACATATATATGTATGTATGTTGTATTGTATACATATGTGTATATGTATGTATGTTGTATGTATGCTGCTGGAACACTGATTCCCCTTTAGGGATTAATAGTGTTATTATCTTTTATCATAATCTGTGATGCTTACATAGTAAATTATAGTACCTGTCAGAATTTACTGTAATGAATTGTGTATAGACTCAAAATAGGTAATAGGTTTCTAAAGAAAATGGTTCTATATAGAAACATGAACACTCTTTGCAGGATTAAATGGTTCTTTGCATCATGAAAGTGTTCTTCAGATTGATGGAAAATATGTTACTTATGGTTCTATATTGACCTTTTTTTGAAAAGTGTTCTATATAGAACCAACAAGGGTTTTTCTGTTATAACGATATCAAGCTTGTGACAATAGAGGAACTATTTCACCATACAAAGAACCCTTTAATCATATAGAACCATTGTCTTACTAAAAAACCCTAGAAGATCCATCTTTTTTAAGAGTGCACAGTTACTATAGTTGTTTTTTTCACCATGTTTTAACTGTTAAAATAATATATTTACTAAGTCTATTACTTGTTATATGTTACAAGACTTTTAAGTCTAAGTTAAGTGTAAGTTTTAAGTAAAAAATAACTGTAGCAACTGTCTGAATTTACTGTAAAGAATAACATGATATTGATCGTCTACTACAACCTAAGTTGACAACATAACCTATAGCCTGCGTACGAAAACAATTACAATTACAATTAAAATAAGACTTTATTAATAGTGTATTTTATTTTTCGAGTGTTTATTTATTTATTTATTTATTTTGTTAGAATAGCATTTGAGACCCTTTTTGCGAACTTCTTCGTGTTTCTTAAGCAGTTCTTGAGATCCTATGTTAAGTTTTTCTTATGAAGGCTTTGGTGAATCTGTCTCCTGATTCAGATTCAGATTCGTCTGGTTTACTGAAAGGGTGCGGTTCAAAGGAACCGATTCGCTGGCGAATGAGTCGAACACCGCCAGCGTGCGCGTTCCCGTGGGTGGCGTGGTGGAGTTTCACCCAGACCAGACTGGCGGAGGAGATCAGCACGAATATAATCTTTTGGGGAGAAATTGATTACTGTATGGTGGTGGATCGTTCCCTTTTTCATATGTTTTAATCTGAATCTGCCACTCTGCGTCTTAGACTGAATCTTTTTGGTCTAGGAGTGGAGTGGAGTGGAGTGGAGTGGAGGACAGATTCGAGGAACCGCAGGAGGAGCTCTCAGCAGTTCAGCAGGGACTGGATTCTTTTTTTTTTTCCTGGTCGGTGAACTTCAGAGCACGTTTTTGGGGGGCTGCGAGGCTGCGAGGAAAGGACAGAGGAAGGAGAAATGGCCGCTCAGGTGGAGACTCTCCTACCGAGCCACCCTCTGCTGAAGAAGGCCGAGGAGGAGCCCGAAGGCCCGCCGAAGAAGGAGCTCCAGCAGCCCGAGGGAGCCTGCGGGAGAGCCGGCCTCGAGCAGAGCCTGAAGCAGGAGAAGGAGAACGTGGATCAGGAGATGATGATGGTGGTGGAGTCCGGCACCAAGAGTGGACGAAGCGTGGAGGAGAGTGCGAAAAGGAGTAAAAAGGAGTTTACTGAAGCTCCTCCGCCCAAGGTGAACCCCTGGACTAAGAAGCTGAACGCGGTGACCGTGGTCAGCGTGAACGGACAACCGCACAACGGTTCGTGGCTGCTTTGTTTACCTCTATTTACCTTTTATTTGCCTCTGTTCAGCTTTATTTATCCTGTTTCGGGCCAGCCTTGATGTTGGTGGGCTTTGCTGGAGCCCACAACCAAGCTGAAGTCAGCATGTTGTTCGAATTTTCCCGTTCCACCTTAAATGGTGCAGCAGTCACGTTCAGGCGCCTGAGCCGCATGAATGTAACTGCTGCACCATTTAAGGTAGAACGGGGAAATTCGAACAACAAGCTGGCGAACAGGGACGCCAACTGTCATACTCAACCCAGGCTAACACACGTGTGCCCAGTATTGCTTTAAGGGTCTTTTAGAGTCGTTTTTTGTGAGATTTTAAGTCTAAATAGTCTGTTTAGCGCTTTCCAACACTTCCCTGCTCGGTTATCCAGCTAAAAACAGACAAAAAACCCCGACTGGGCAGCTAATCTGTTTATACGGACGAGATTCTTAATGACATGTGGTTGTTAGCTTAGCAGGGAAGCTAACGCTGCTTGTGGCTGTATTTTGGGGTATTTTGTGCAGCTGTTTCTCGTGTTTGCAGACAGGGAAAATGTGATGGGGGTTGAATCTGTCCAGCCCGGTTGAAATAAGTGGTTTGGGGGGCTCACCGAGCGTAAAAGTCGCTGAAAGCTCGTTTCTGACGGTGCAGTTAGCTTTAGCTTCAGCTTTAGCATTAGCCGCACCGCTAGCTCTGCCCCAGTGGCCGCAAATGAGCAGAATTTCCGTCTATTCAGCGACCAAAACTATCAAATGTGACAAAAGGCCCACATTTCTGCAAACATAGATGATGTTGGTCGCTTTTAAGCTTCATTTAAGGCTCTTTTGAACGGCCAGCGCTGCTTTAGCTAACAATAACGTTAGCCGCCCGGGCCTACCGAGCTAGCAAAGCCCGCAAAACTCACTAAAGGGGTCTCGATTTTGAGGCTGTTGTTCGTCTAATGGACTCATTTGTGTGCTGGGTGGACAAAACTGTCAAGAAGAGATCCACAGTTATCTAGAACTTTTAAATCTTGATCTGGGTTTGTTGTGGAGAATCACGTGTGGAATCCACGTGTTTGCGTCTCGTCCGCTTTTACTGAGCGTTATTTCCCGTTAAATCTGCTTATTTTTCTGCTTATTGGTGGCGTTTTTAAGCTGAAATGCTCTCCTCGTGTTTTAATGTGCGCACAGTGTCAGTCTGCCTGGTTAAGGCGGTTAAAATGGCTTAAATAGTCGGACGTGCTATCTGTAGTTAGCTTCAGCCTCTCTCGCAGCCTGTTATGTAACATCAGCAGGACATTCGGACGTTTTATTAAAGCGAATCAAGTGATTTAAAGTCTTGTGATGAAATTTCAGTTCGCTGAAGTTCGTCCAAAACGGTGGAGGACGTGCAGAATGACGATGAATGATGGGGAGTTCATGCTAAAACTTTCCCATAATCCTCCAGCATGAAGACAACGTGGTTTGAAACCATGTGACTCGACAAAATGTTGAGTTTGGAGGTGTAGATGATGGAGATGAGCAGCTCACAGGCTCTGTAGGCGAGCTTTGCGATAGATATTGGGGTGTTTTAGAGCTTGGCTGGTTTAGAGGAGGTAAATAAAGCCCTTTTGGCCTCTGGTGGTCCCTCCCTGCCCCCCCAGAGTGGAGCTGCCGGGCCTGCACAGACAGCCTGTGTGGTTAGGAAGACAACAACAAGCCTTAAATACAGTTTATTGGAGCAGCAGAGAGATGGCCAGTGCGATTTGGATGGGGCTTTAGAACAGACAGCTTAGTTTTGTACAGTAAATACAGATTATTAAACCTCTGGAGCGCATTAAGTAGAGATGTATCCAGGGTTCATGCAGCGTCTTAAAGTCTCAAGTCTTAATAAACTGAACAAAAATTGAAAAACACTTTTTACTGGAAAGGTTTTACTTGTAACCTGGCAAAAACGCTCGCTTTAGTGTCTGGTGCAACCACTGTTTGGCTGTAGTGGGTTGACATTTTTAGGGAAAAGTCCTGAATTGTGTTTATCACACTGCTGCCAAATGGAGAAAACAGAATATGGCATTTCTATTTTTGTTTGGTGTAAATAAGAAATATGTCAGAAGAAAGAAAATATTTTTTATTTTATTTTTTTTTTAAATATATAGAAGTAAACATGTTCCAATTTAAGTCGATGCCTAAAGGCTGTGGTGAAAATAATCAGTGACTACATTTCTGTCCAAAGTTTATATTTATTTACTTCATAAAAAGATTTTTTAACACCTTCAAAAAGTTTCAGTGTAAGCCGTGGAAACTGAACCTGGCGGTAACATTTTGTGAATGTCGACAACTGTTTTCTCTTCAACTTTAGCGGGAAAAGTGTTGGTCGAGATCTGAAATCCAACATTGGAACTGCTTTTTGGGGAAAAATAAGTGTTTAAAGGAAAGCTGCCACTTTTCCGCTCTCACAGAAAGAGACAAGCGGAAAAGACTACAGCATTTCTAAATTACTGTTGTCGGAACAAAAACCTCGTATCTCCAAAATGGTAACTTTACAGAAGAAGGAAAAAACATACTCTACTTTTAATGTAAGTCTATGGAACCAGACATTTTTCAGAGTAATTTTTGGTCATTTCTTTTGGTCCATTCATCATGAAATTTGCATATAATATAAACGGCAACAGGTATTTTCAAATTGTCAAAAACTGAAAAACGACAAAAATGGAAATACGAGGTTTTGTTCCAACAGCAGCGAAATGGAAAGAGCTCAGACAGCTCTATACAGCGGAGGAACAGGATCTCACACAGAATGATTTAGAAATACTACTACTATTAATAAAAATAATAATAATAAACAATATTTATCGGTCAATTTTGGGGATCCTCAGAAGTTGCAACAAACATGAAATTAGAGATGGAAACGTGAAACTTTTACTGATAAGACAGAACTTATGCGACGATTTTAGCCGTAAATGTCTTTTACGCTGAGCATCATTATCCCTAAAATGAGTTTGGCTGAATGAAGCTGCAGAAATTGCACATTTTAACGCTATCGCTTGAAATTTGGTTCAAAGAATCAACGGAATAATTAATATTAGGCTAAATCTAATATCAGTCAAAAACGTAAATGGCAGACGTGACTGACAGCCTGGCAGCATATGCGTCAAGCATGCACAGGTGTTCATACATCATGTGTTTAAGTGTCTGACTGTTGTGGCTGTATGGAATTTTTTTTGTGTTGTTTTTTCTGTTTTGAGGTCATAAAAAGTTTTTGTGTTTGATGTGATGGTGGTCTACACAAAATACAAAACCTCTACTTCAGTGAAGGCAGAGATACTGTTGGAGGGGAACTCCACCGATTTTGGGAGATCACTTGATCATTCAGTAGTTTCGATGTGAACAGTCATTCAGAGTGGTTCGGTGTGAAATGCGCTTTTCCAGAGAAATTTACTGAGTCAGAATTGTTCACCCTTATAGTAATAGGAACCAGACGTCCGGCGCGTTCAGTGGCTCTAGAAGCTACATCCCGTCAAGTTATTACACCAAATGGATATAAATGCGTTGCTCGATACCTGAGACACTGTTCTGTGATAGTTCTGTCATAACGTTGCCTGTAGCTACAGCTCTTCAGTGTGTCTAAGGCCAGCAGCAGCTTTTGTTTCCAGTTTATTTTTAGTTTTCTTACCTGTTTTGGAAGATGGCCGAGTGTGTGGAGGACTTTGAGGAGGTCTGTTTCTAAAATGTCGTAGAGCCAAATGGATTTGAACCAGAAAACACTAAGGAGTCGCAGCGGGAAGGAGACTGAACCCGCCGACGCAGAGCAGCCCAGGGCGAATGGAAAGTGCTGGTCTTAACAACAAACTACTTGCTATTCTGCTTTCCAGTTTATGAGGTAGGACAGCGAGGTAAAGTCCTTGTCTTTTTCGTGTGGCCCCTGTTAGACAGTCTATTCTAAGCTATCGGCTAACTGTGATATCTGCACGGCGTCTAACGACGACTGATTTATTTCACTCACGAACGTTTCTTACTTCGATTCCAGTTTCTGCTGTAGTGAAACTGCCGGTGTGTAGATTTGCGGCTCTGCGGTCAGACCGTCCCCCAGAAGGCGTTTAGGGCGGAGAGGTGCATGCAGGGCGTTGTAAGGAGAAATGGTATGAAAATGTTCCAGTTTAAGCCGGTTCCTAAAGGCTGTGGGGAAAATAATCAGTTTATATTTATTTACTTTATAAAATCATTTTTTAACACCTTCAAAAAGTTTGTCAGCGTAAGCCGTGCAAACAAACTGGCGGTAACATTTTATGAATGTCGACAACTGTTTTCTCTTCAACTTTAGCGGGAGAAGTGTTTGTCAAGATCTGAAATCCAACATTGGAAGTGTTTAAAGGAAACCTACCACTTTTCCGCTCGTACAGAAAGAGACGAGCAGAAAAGGCTACAGCTTTTCTAAATTATTGTTGCCGGAAACAAAACCTCGTATCTCCAAAATGGTAACTTTACAGGAGAAGGGAAAAACCTACTCTACTTTTAATGTAAGTCAATGGAACCAGACTTTTTTCTGAGTATTTTTTGGTCATTTCTTTTGGTCCATTCACCATGAAATTTACATGAAATATAAACGGCAACAGGTATTTTCAAAATATGTCAAAAACTGAAAAACAAAAATGGATATACGAGGTTTTCCTGACAGCAGCGAAATGGAAAGAGCTCAGACAGCTCTATACAGCGGAGGAACAGGATCTCACACAGAATGATTTAGAATTAATAATAATAATAATAATAATAGTTGTTGTATTTTTCGTGTGGCCCATGTTAGACAGTCTATTCTAAGCTATCGGCTAACTGTGATATCTGCACAGCGTCTAACGACGACTAATTTATTTCACTCACGAACGTTTCTTACTTCGATTCCAGTTTCTGCTGTAGTGAAACTGCCGGTGTGTAGATTTGCGGCTCTGCGGTCAGACCGTCCCCCAGAAGGCGTTTAGGGCGGAGAGGTGCATGCAGGGCGTTGTAAGGAGAAATGGTACCCAGTTTTGCAGTA